AGTTTGTTTTTAATCATGTACTCATCCCTCATAAATTTCCTATACTCTCATACTCCATCTCCAACACAAATAGAGATAATAAGGGACCCTTGGGAGAAGTTCTGAGAAATGCCATTTCCAAGAGCTGATTTCTTGGAGCCATCCACATCAGGGAAGGCTGTCTTATATGTCTGTAGATGAGCTTTTTGAACATAACTAAAGAATACAGTTCATGTCTATTTCCCTCCTACTCTTCCTCCTTCCCAGATATTATCTAAAGGGTAACATGAGAGTATGCTTTGTTCCTCACAGTTGTCATAGAAAAATATTCATCCTAGTTTCATAGTGAGTTTGAAGCTAGCATGGGATACATAGTGAGTTCAAGGCCAATGCAGGCTATATAAAGAGACTATATTTGAAAAAGAAAAGTGGGATAGTCAAAAGGAAAGATGAGGAAAAAATGCATGATTCACCTGTCCCAAGACTGATACTGGAATATGGGCTGATGTATACAAAATCACTATTGCAAAGTCTCAGGCAGGCTGCCCAGCCAGACTCCAAAACACACTAAACAATGTGGTGATTCTCTTTTGTGATCAAAATCTTGCCTTGCTTTACTTAATAATCCAGTGCTTAATAACTCATGGTGACCCAGGCCCACAATCCCAGCTACTAGGAAGCTGCAGCAGGATTATCATAGGTCCCACACTACCCTGGGAAACTTAGTGAGGCACTGTTCAAAAGTAAAATGAAAAGTAAGGAACAGAGCTCAGTTTTACAATGAATGCCTAACATTTTCCAGACCCCAGGCTAAATCCCTAGAACTGAAAATGAAACAAAGACAACAGTTCTAAATGCGCTGTAAATCAGTTACTTAGAAAACATTTTCTTAACCTGGCATCCAAAAAGGATCACAGAAGGGAAGAAAAAAAAAAAACAGGGAGCAAACAGAGATTAAAAGGGTGTTAGTTACCTTTCTAATATTGTGATAAGACACCAAGACCAAGGCAACATAAAGGAAAGTTTAATTGAGACTTACAATTTCAGAGTAGTAGAGACCATGACATCATGCCCAGGACATCATGCCAGGGAGCATGGCAAGAGATAGGCAGGCAAACTGGAGCAGTAGATCAGAGCTCACAACTATCAGACATAGAAGCTAATTGGAATGCTGTGGTCATTTGAAACCTCAAAGCCTTCCTGGATGACACACTTCCTATAACAAGGCCAAACCAACTAATCCTTCCCAAACAGTTCTACCAACTGGTGCTCAAGTATTCAAACATATGAGTCTAAGGGAGCCATTCTAACCTTCAAAAACAACATACCATGGAAGATTCACCATCGTTTGTGAATTTCTGAAGAAATGCATGTAATACTACAAACTCAAAGAACAAACAATGCCCATGGTGATAACAAAGGAGGCAGTTTCCCACAGTAGCACAGACTCAGGAAATGAACAGGGAATGACTTAGCAAGAAGGAAAGAAAGACCAGGAAGCAGAGTTTAAGAGCCAAAAGTTAAAAAAAATAAATAAAAGTCCTGCACAACTGTGGTCTTGCTCTTAAGGCAACATGGAATCACAGAAGACTTTAAACAAATGACAGGGATGCCATGCATGAGCTTGCTTTTGTAGAGAATTGCTTTATGCAAGAATAGACCTAAGAAAGGAAATGTGAGAAAGATAGAAGGTAAGAGAAATCCAATGTGCAGAGAAAGATGATAAAACTTAGGGATACCAGGGATCAGCTAGGGAGGCAGGGCTCAGATACGATATGGGGATACACACAGGGAAAGGAATGACAAATCAATGATGAACAGCTAGGCAGATAAGAGTGCCATGAGGGAAGACTCAAGTTGGCAGAGGTGATCATATATAAATGTTTTTCTGTGTGACCACTAGTGCCTTAAAACATTATGTTGTACATAATGTGTCCATATTCATTATCCTGATAGGATGGGGGATTAGTAATCCTCAGATATAGGAGAGAGCTGGTAAGATGTAGGAAAAAAATGCAATATCAGAAATCTTCTACGGAGTAAAGATTCTAGAAGATAATAACATTTTTAATATGTCAGTTTGAATTTTTTAAATTATTACACTTTTTAAACAATAAAGCCTGTAACTCAGTAATTGTCTTCTTTGTTTTCTATTGCTGTGAAAAAATCCAAAGCCAAAGGCAACTTGGGAATGAAAGAGTTTATTTGGCTTAAATGTCCTGAACATAATCCCTCATTCAAGAAAGACAAGAAACAAACTCAAGGCAAAACGTGTAGGGAGAAATTAAACCAGAGATCATGGACGAACACTGATTCCTGGCTTCCTTTCCATGGCTTACTTAACCTAATTTCTTATATAACCCAGGGCCACCTATCTTGAGGCAGCACTGCCGTTGTGCCCTGGCCTCTCCCTAGTCAACTCTTTGTTTGTTTGTTTTTTGGTTTTTTGTTTTGTTTTTTTCAAGACAGGGTTTCTGTGTAGAGCTCTGGCTGTCCTAGAACTCATTCTGTAGACCAGGCTGTCCTCAAACTCAGAAATCCACCTGCCTCTGCCTCCCAAGTGCTGGGATTAAAGGCATGTGCCACTACTGCTCGGTCCCAATCAACTCTTAATCAACACTATGTCCTACAAATTAATTTTGCAGAGGTATTTTGCAAATTGAGGTTCCTTATCCCAAATAACCCTAACTTGTGTCAAGTTGACAAAAATCTACCCAGGCAAAATGCAGTATGTAAAGTAACAGGCAACCACATCATAACGTCCATGGATCACATCCCAGGCCATGTGATCAATAGGATTCACAGCAACAGAGATACTATATGACCTTAAGATTTAATATGAGGTGGGATTCTTCAATGGTTATTTTATTTTGAATCAGGGTTTTTGCCATGTTGCCTGCTAGGCTCTAATAATTGGGTTCTAATAATTCTCCCACTTCAGGCTGGGACTATAGGTTCTAGCCACTACTTCTGAAAAAGTCAAACATTTTTAAGAACCTGACAAGTCACATATACTATTTCTTCCCTAGTTGCTGCCTTTATCTCAGACCATTATACAAGTTAGGTAGCCAAGGTTCAGACGCAAATACATAGTTTTTCTGTGGAAAACAAGTATTTGAAATTAAAACATAGGGATTGGCATTTCCCAAAGTTTTTTGCTTTTGAGACAGAATCTCCCTATATACTTCAGGTTCTCTTAGAGATAGATATCCTCTTGCCCGAGACTCCCAGTTTTCTACTATAGAAATGTGCAGCCCTCTGTGTTTCTAAACAAGGTATGAGTAGATTGGGACAGCGCAGGGAGGAAGCAGAGTGATAAGTGCGGAGGTAGAGGCAGCCCTCTTGGCAGCTCTGCTCCTCCTCTCTGGTTTCATTTCCCCATGGTATTGCCACTAAGACCCTGGGACACAAGAGTGGCTTGCTTTTTACCTTAATTACTACAGCAATTTGCTAAATTTTGTTTTTACCTTTTTAAGAGTGTTAATCAATTTTAGCTCAGAATAGATTGGAATGGCACATAAATCATGACAATCACCAAATGCAAATTTCTGAACATCTCTATCAGCCTCTCAGCCTGAAATATGTGAAAATCAGAAACTCTAGCCTGCATCAACATGATCTATTTAAAATGCTACTACTCTGAAATGCAATTATAATGGCTTTGTGGATCTTAGAAGAATCAACCTGCCAGAATCAGCCCCATGCCTAGGAGCCTGGTCCTTCCCAAGGTGATCAGAAACGGGGCCAAAGTTTTCCTTTAAAGCTCTTAGTTCCTTTAACACAGCAGTGTGCTAAACTTGCTAGTATGTGAGACACCTACCAGGCAACCACCTACTATGCACCAGAAAAAGTTCTTGGCTTCTTACTTCATTAAAGAAATGCTGCTAGACTCCATTGGCAGGCTCTGTATTATATCATAAGACAATCGAGTCATCTGTACATTCCATGCTTACAATCTATGTTAGTGTCTTACAAAAAAAAAAAAAAAAGCTAAACGCAGATACATCTTGTTTTAAGTAAACTTACATTTTGTATTGGGATACATTCACAGCTACCTGTGGCTGCACTGGGACTAAGGACCATAAATTAGACATGGATGTGAATGACAAATGGCTGTAAAGTTTTTTGCTTATTCGTGGAAAGAAGAAAAGAATAGCAATGCAACTGAGTATAAAGAAAGGATGGGTGAAACCTGACAAGATACCAGGGAAAGTAAGCATGATAGAGGGAAAAGGATTCGCAAAGGACTACAACACTGGAGAGAAGGCACCTATCACAGCTTCTCTAATATTTATAATTATGTGTTAGGGAGAATTCATAGTAATGACAAAAGATAAGTAAGAAGCAGAGTTGGGAACTAAAATCCACAGTCTTTACTTAGATCATGATCCCAATCATCATGGAAGCAAGGTTGCATTATAGAAGAACTTTAAGCAAAGCAATTAGATAATCACATGTCTTTTATTAGTTAAAATAATCCGTATATAGTGATTATTCAGGAAAATCTTCTTTCATCAGGAACTCTTCCTTACTCCAAGATTTGGGAGTATAAACTTTCTGTTCCTGAAGAAATAGGCAGACATGGACTGGTGACTGTGTTGTGTCTTGTGGCCAGTAAGTAACAGTGCATGGAGTCAGGGCAAGTTCTGTCAGACTCTGAGGTCAACATTTACTTCAAGAGCTACAGAATGACAAGAGGATAAGTGTGGATATAAGGTATAATGGATTCTATGACAGACAATGTTCAGGCATAAACCAATATCAGTGAACATCAGCTTTTATAGAGTACAGTGGTGGCTAGAATTACACAGAACAAAGTAGAGTCTGTGTTAGCATATCAGTCTTCCTAATTCGTTGCTTAATGTTAAAGTCAAATAAGCATAATTATAGCCTGAACATTTCCTACTAGGAGCTGATATCTCTGTCCTTGCTACAGTCTATTTAATTACTCCCCACCAAGGCTCCCAGCTACAGGAGATCAGGGAAACTTTTCTCCCTTCCTCCCTTCTTCCCTTCCATACCTTGAGTTCATCAGCATTATAGAAGTCTACTTGCACTGCAGGTACCATCCAGGTCTGGAAGAGCGTAGCCAGGATCTGCTCAGCAATAGAATCAGCAATGAGGTGGAAGTGCAGAGGGTTCCGCCTGTTAAAGGGAGAGGAGGATGCCAGAGGAGCATTAAGGGTTGTGATTCTAATTGCAAAATCACCCCTTCCAAGCAGATAATGTAGGATACTATCGAGGCCACTGCAGAAGTAAATCAGGCATGTAGCTCTACAGTGCTTCTTGGTGATAATATTAGAACTGCAAGAGAGAAAAGATATCACCTTCAACCTTGAATTTCTGAGTGTGGATAACCAAGGACCAAAGAAAAGTAAAATGCAATTCTCACATCTCTTATCAAGATGTCTTCATTCTAAAAATTTTTAAATAGGGTATAATTAACAATTATGACAACTTCTGCACCCACCAACTTGACATGCCAGCATTAATGCAAAAACATAATGACAGGGACCTTACCTTAAACTGGTGTGGGTAGCCGGTAACATACTTCTCCATTAACTCAAAGATAAGTTGTGTTTTCTGCTTTTTCTTTTCCAAAACAAATCTATGTGTTCATGCTGCAGTCATCTGGAACTTCACCTCTTTTGGAGTGGGGCCAGAACGCTTTTACTCACTCAACTGTCTACAGTTTCCAGCTCTTCCTGGACAGTTCAAGATAGCATGGCACAGGACAAGGATTCAGGGGGCTTTAGTAGTTTGAATACAAAATGTCTCTGATTTGACTTAGGTACTTGAATACTTGGTCTCCAGATTGTGGTACTGTTTAGGTAGATAGTAGAACCTTTAGAAGATAAGATTTTGCTGAACTAAGTGACAGAGACTAAGTCTGAGGTTTTATAGCTTAAGCTCACTTCCTGTTTATTTTTCGATTCCTTACTGCAAAGATGTACTGATTTACTTTTTGTTCCTGCCTTCCTCTTTGTGATGAAATGTATCCCCTTGAGTTGCAAACTATAATAAACCACTTCTTTCTTTAAGTCGATTTTGTTAGAGTATTTCCTGATAACAAAGAGATAAGTGATAATACTGAAAATTGGTACTAGAAGAAGGGTTGTAATATATTTGAACTATAATCTAGATTAAATACTTTATTAAATTGTTCTGTATAAAGTTTTTTGTTGAAACAAAAAAGCAATGGATACAGGGAAAAATGGAAATGAGTTTTAAATCCAGTTCTGGCTCTTCATGCAGCATTTGTTTGAATCTGATAAATAATGAGCCAGCCTACCTCCATCTTATAAAAAAGCCATTTATAGTAAAGACAAACTAAGCTCATTCTCGTTTATAATTAGACCTCTGTTTCTCAAGGATTGAGCTATAACCACAAATTGTTCTTTACTGTCTGTTCCAAGAAACAACAAGCATTCCTTGGTTCCATTTGATTATGATAACCTTGCTATGACTACTTGTTGCTATGACTACCTTGTTAGGACCTCCTTGCACACATCTTTGTTTTAGGAGGTCTAATTCTGCTTTTGTAACCTCTTCTATTTTGCCTACCAAATGCCCCATTTGGAAACCCCCTACAGCTAAGCTATAAAAAAACCTTGTCTTCATCATGTCTCTTGACTCTCACCTTTAGAGAAAGACAGGACATTTACAAAAGAAGCTAGCTTTAATTAACTGCTTTTTAGAATAAATTTGGCCATGGTGATTTGGGTTGGTAGTCTTTCTCCTCAAATCTTTGGGATTAGCAATAAATACAATTTACCCAGCCTTTCTAGCAATAAACAGCCCATCCATCTTCTACATCCCTGCTACATACACTTTCCACTTTAGAGGTTCCCAGTTGGATCTCAGGATATAAATGCACAGGCTTTGACTTATCTTGGTTCTGTTAAAAACTAATAGTGAACCTTGGGAAGTTTCATCTCTAAGTGTCAGTTTGGAGACCTTTAAAAATGTTTAATTATTATTAGTTTTATATCTATCTATTATCTATCTATCTATCTATCTATCTATCTATCTATCTATCTAAAAATGCTTGGTCTCAACAAAGACTACTTCAATGTCCATCTAGCTCCTCCAGTAATGGTGGCAGAGTAGCAAGAAGGTTTTGCTTCCCTCCTTTCAGGAGTTATTTATCATTTTTCCTTAATAAATATACATTTGTTGTGCTCAGCCTTGTCCTTGCTTCCCATTATTCATTTTAGGCATGAGAAAAAGAATTCTGACAACACTGGCTTAGGGTACCTTTGGTGAAAACTGCCTGATCTTCAGACATCCTAGATCCCTAAGCTGAGTTCTTAAATAGCCAAAAAAAGTCTATGCTATTCTTAAAAATCACACACATCACTTAGATTTGGCATCGAAAAAAGAAAGAAAAAGAGGAGAGCAGGGATAAACAAGACTTCACTAAATTAAAACAAACAAACAAAAAAACAAAACAAGATAGAAACTTGTTGTTCCTGCTCACTACAATGTGGAAGGCACAGAGCCTGATCATCCTAGCACCTTCATCACAGCACCCTAAAGCCCATGGAATAAATCTGTGCTGCTGAAGGGAAGGAAGGAAGGAAGGAAGGAAGGAAGGAAGGAAGGAAGGAAGGAAGAAAAATAAATAGAACTTTTGTGCTTGGAAGGGCATAAATAAAGTGAAAAACTTTACTCAAGAGTAGGAGAAAAATATCAGCAAGTGAGTAACTGATGAGGGATTTGTTAGGATGATAAAGATATTTTACAATACAAACAAAAAAAGACAAGTAAGCCAATTTAAAATCCTGGAGAGGCTCTAAATAGCAAAGATTTACAAATAGTCAATAAGCATATGAAAAGACACTCAATCTCATTAATCCCAAAGGAAATGCAAAATGTAAAAGCACAATGAGATGCACACCCATTAACATGCTTAAAATAAAAACACTAACAACAAATTGGCTGGGGAGGACTCTGAGCCAGTAAAGCATTACTGATGAGATTTAGAAATTTCTAAAAAAAATAAAATGAAATGAAACTTAGCACAGAAATACCATGTCTGACCTACTCAGCAAGTTCCTCTCCTAGAGACAAGCACAAAAGTGAAAAAGTGTGTGTGTGTGTGTGTGTGTGTGGTATACATGCACATGCATGTGTGACTGTACTGCCTGTGATCTAGAAAGTAACTGATACACAAGCAAGCAACCCTATTTAAACTCAGTGGGCTAAAAAGAGAGGAGGTGCAGTGGTAAGTTGGGTTTTGCTTTTGCTGCTGTTTTTGTTTTGATTTTAAGCACCAGAGCTTTTCTGGACTTTTGGTGAGCTGAACTCAGGGAGCTAGTGTAAAGAATGAACTCTACTTCTAGGTGGAAGCATGGCCTTTTCTCCTTTCTTAGACATTAAACTGTCAAAGAGATCAGGGACATGGCTAGGGTAGCATGCTTATGAGAGTGAGTTCACCTTAATATAATGCTACTTTCCTTCCATAAATTCGTGCCTTATGATGCAGTCCCTATTACCTGTCCTTTGGTTCAGTTTGGTTGGGTCCTTCTATTAGAAATCAGGCTGCCCTCAGGGAGTACAAGAAGCTACATCACCACCAGCTGTAGCTGTAAACAGGCTGCTGTTTAACTCTGTCTGTCTGTCTGTCTGTCTGCCTTTCATGTCCCTGCTCAGAGACAGTCTTCTGCTCCCTATCCCCAATATTTTTTTTTTTTTTTTTGCTTGAAAGTTGTTGTATGGCATGATGTCTGTAGCATTCCTTGACACTGATCTACCAAGGTAATCTACTGCTGGTGCTGTGTGTGCTTTTAATCTAGCTAATGTTTTGAACTTTAGTATGGTTTTTCTAATGCTCCAGTCCTGAGTCATGGCTTCCTAGAGGCATAGAGATGAACACCAAACCAGCTTATATTAAGTAGTCTCCTACTCCAGGGAGCTGCAACATTTACAGCTTGCTTATGATGGAGTTTTCCTTTAAACTCTAATAAACTGCCCTCAAGTTTCTACGTAAGCTCATTGTTAGTCCTTGAGCTTCCATTTATGCTGATTCTTATACTCGCTTACTACCCAGACTAAGAACACCAAGAGAGGACTCCAATTTTCCAAGTATCACATGATGGCTCTGCTGGGAATCCCTAAGATTTCATGACTTTCTTGACTTTTTACTTCTTTAATTGGCAGAGAAAAATATGCCCATGCCTACAACCTAGAGTCAAAGTCAATATGAGGTTGCCTAAAGTCCAATGGTCACTAAAGTCATGCTAAGCCAGTGGCTCCTAAGTTTTGTCTCATACCTAAATGCAGTAAGCAAACATGGAGTAGGCCCACCAAAATACAAACAAACAAACAAAAAACAAAAACAAAACCCAAAACAACAATAACAGAAACTAAGCAAAAGAAACGAAAACAGATTTATTAAGGACTAAATGAGAAGAGGCCCTGAGGGAAGAATACTTTTCTTTTGTACTATCAAATGGCATTATCTGAGTATTTTGGCATGAACTGAGTGGAAATTGAGGGGATCTATATTTACCTGGATCATTTTTGAGTATTAGCACACACTTAGATAATAAACAACATAAACTCCTTAACATTCACCTTAAACCAACCAAGAGAAAGACCATCCTTACTCATCCAATCAAGACAGTGGTCGTGCATTCTGGTCTCCTTAGGCCATTTCCTGCCCCAATTCCATTCTCCTGTAACTTATGTTATAGGCTATTGATTTGATCACGTCCAATTTTATTGGCTCCTCAGCTACCACAGAAGCTACAGCTACTTCTTTTGACATGTTAACTCCTCTCTCAAAAATAAAAGGTAAATATATTAAGAAGGGGTTCAGTAAGAAGCAAATGGGAGTAAAAAAAAAAGGGAAATGGGGTATATATGTATGAAACTTTCAAAGAATAAAAATTAAATAATAAAAGTGTGTACACAATATTCTTAGTACAGTTATTCTTACTATCTAAGAAGTAGTAAATATCAAAATGACCATCAATTAAGGATAAATACAGAACAAAACATTCATACACAGGAGCACTGATGTACAATAAAATGTAAAGAAATTTAGCAGTGTTGTGTCATGGAAGAACCACAAAACCTCATTGGGAGGGAAAGAAGTCGGTGAGAAGGACTAAGTATTACATGATGCACATGGCAACAAAATGTCCAGAGTAGGCAAATCTGAAGACAGAGAACAGATGTGATGTGAGAAGAATGAGAGACTAAGGACAGATATGTGGGCATGTTTACAGGAGGCAATAAAAATGGCCTAATATTCAATAGCACTGATGGCTAAACAATGGCAAATTTATTGAGAATACTAAATGTTTCCCTTTCGAACCACCCATTTACTATAGAAATATTCTCATTCACATATTTGACTATCTGAGACTGGAATGATAATCCAGATTGTGAATGTGGAAATGAGGTAAACCTGCTTTGCTCAGCTGTTCTTGATCCTTCACTAGACTGGGAGGCTTGGCCTGCATGATACATTGCTTCTAGGTGGGAGAGCCTGCACATGTGTACGGTGGGCTGTGATCAGGAAGTATGATCAATCCTATAGGTCATAGGAAACACCCTGATAATGTCAACCGTTCATGAAGACTTCTACAACTCAAGACTAATAAAGAAATGATCTCATCTTTTACATAGGTGGCTTATGAGTTTCCTTTTACCTTTGGCTTCTAATTCAGGAAGGTAAAAATGAATTTTAATGATAGAGCCTTCCAAGAACCACAATCTGCCAAAGGCTGTGAGCTTCTGTCTTCTCTTTTGTACAAAAGCAAAGGAACACCATTTAGGCAGATGTTAAGAACACATTTACTGCAAAGAAAATTTCACAAATGAAGTTAATATAAACTCACTCTCAAGGAATAATCTTCTCAATATACAATAAAAGGCTATTTAGTTTTATAACAGTATCATATCTAAAGTAGATTTTTTTTCATCAGTCTCTAGTTACAAATATGTTTGGAAAAGTACAGCCTCATACCCATGGGAAAAGGCCTTTTCCTAGAGAGGTGGCTTTGTCCATATCCTAATACCCAGTAACCTTATTTGCAGGAGTATCAATATCCCCCGGAAGGCAAGGGAATGTTCCATCTCCAGAAAATTCTGAAGACTGCACTTGTAATGAGCAACACTTCTGCTGCCTCTGTTTCCTTAACTGCTCCTGTGTTCAATGTCGGAGTACAATAAATAGAGCAGTAGAGAAAGTAAAGATTAAATCATTGCTTTTCTCATGCCTCCTCTTGTCTTGCCAGAAAAGTGCCAAAGCTCCCAAAAGGCAATGCAAGGCCTGCTTTCATTACAATATGTAAGGCTATAGAAGCTGCAATAATCTTTATTAAATTCACAATACAATAGCAATTTTAGGCAAAGAAAAAAGCCAGTGATGGCGACAGCAGCCCTCAGTGAATTGTTGACACTTATGATTATTTCATGAGAATCTCAAGGATTTGTAGTCAGAGCATCCTTGAACTGAAGGAGGCTAAATAGCCACTATAATATTTGGAAATTAATGAAGAGCTTAATTATTCTCTTTATTAGATAATGGAGAAGAGGGAAGCTTTCTAGAAGAATCAGAAGGCCATATGCAATGGTGAAAGCATCATGAATTCTAGAGGTTGGAAGAAGTGCATCTAGAACTAATGGATTAGCATCTATTCAGCTGTGACTTTGAATGAGTCACTTAAGCTCTCTGGGCTTGGGTTCTTCTAGAGCTATAGGGATGGTAGAATTTACTGTATTGGGTAAGAAAAAATCAAATTCAATAGTCCACATGAAGCTCAACATGTGAGGAAAATGATTATTTCTCCTAGTTCCTCTACATTCATCTATGTGGTCAAAGGCATCTGTCCTTTGTCCATACTATCTTAAGTTTGACTAGAAACACAGATGCCAAAGCTTTAAAATCTTTTATATATGTAAGATTCAGGATCTCACAAGTACAAATTGTCAGGGGAAAAAATGATAATGGGCACTGCAATGATGATAACAATGTCCACCAAAAATGATGATGCATATTACAAGAAATAGTAATACTATTAAAGGCAGGAAACTCCTTGTTACTTGTGGAGAGTAAAGTAAACGTACTGGGCTTAAACTCAGCTCTGTTCATCACCTAGACATGAGATCTTGAGCAATAGCTTAACCATCTTGGTCCTCAGTTGTACTATCTATGAAATAGGGCTTAGCAACAGTATCTTTCTTCAGCAGGCACAGAACTGGGAATTTTAGTATCCTGACAACATTTAGAAGAGAATTTGTAACAGATAGAGGGAGTATTTGTTGAACAGGAAAACAGGAATCTCTCTGCATATTCTAAGGAGAGCTCTATGGCTAGATGTGATGGGGAAGAGCAGATGTATGCTGATTGCCTAGAAGCACAGCTCCATAGGGCTAAACCAAAAGCACAGCCCAAAACCATGTTGGCTCACTTGCTGTGGTCACATCCTATGCTCCCTTTCCAACCCAAGATGCTACTTTTACAAATGACTATACACAACATTTCAAAAGACTTTGGCTACACATGATGCTATATTTAGAATATGCATATGTATGTGTATGTGTGTGTGTGTGTGTGTGTCTGTCTATCTGTCTGTGTGTATGTATGTGTGAACAATTCATTAAAAAAGAGGTTATCAGTTTCAAAGAAAGCAAAGAGGATTCTATAGAAGGGCTTGAAGGAAATTATAACATAACCTACATGGAAGGGATTATATTATAATCTCAAAAGTAAAAGAAAAAAGTTTAAGCCATCCTTTTAAGACACAGATCTTTCAGTAGCCATGTGGGGTGAGGGTCTTCAGCATATATTCTGAAATTTATTTCCAGAAGGTTGAAGAATATTCAGAGCCACATTGTTATTAGCTGTACATGTCAGTCCCTTACTATCATTTAATATATGGCATGTCCACTGTCTCCAAGAATATTGTAGAAGTAAAATTGATTTGACATACAAAGCAAACCTTAAATGAAAATTTGTTGATAATCTTGTCTGGAAAATAAATCTAATTACTGTAATTAACAATGAAGCCAAAAGAAACATCCCAAACCACATTCTAATATTATTAACATTAGGATGGTACTTCATTTGTCAATGATCACCCTAAACCATGACTATTCTATTGTTATTAACATTAGGAAGGTACTTGATTTGTCAATGTATTTGATAATCATGTCTTCATCAATCTCCATAATGTACTTGGGATAGAAGAAAGCTATTTTTAGCTGGACTTTCTCAGATGAAAGACTTTCCAATATCCTTTTGTTTTAATATCCAAACTTACTATCAGTAGCAAATTAATTCACAATCATTCTCACTTATATAATGGCAAGATAAGGAAGGGACTCCAATCATGATCAGGAGAGGCAAGCACTTACTGTCATGATGCAGATGTCATGTTCATAATTCACACTAGTAATGAGCTTTCTCCCAGATGTGCACAACTCCATTGAAGGATGATATATGCCTTCCATAGCTGCTAATAAAACTGATATTTTTAAACTGAATGTCTTTGTACTATACAGATTGTTTATGCTCAGCAATCACCGGTTTATAAGATGTGCAGTGAAAGCAACAGGAAGGAACATTTTACAAAAACAAACAAACAAACAATAATACCTACTAAATGTGGATCTTCCAGACCTAACAATTTTTCATAATTGAGACATAAGAAATGCTTATCTTTAATCATACAAACTTCCTTTCCTGAAAGAAAAGGATATTGGATTCTATCTGTTGGAGACTCTCTAGTCCTGGAGACAAGGAATAATGACATGTCTAAGAATTTCCAATCTGGCTCATGGGCAGTCTTCATAGTGCTTGGATGCAATGAGGGTGTGGGGTCACAAAAGTTGGAAACTACACAGTGAATATGGTCATGGAGAAAAAGATATGTGGCTTCACAGGAGAAACCTCAGCCAATTTCTACCTGACATTCCTATGACCTCTTAAACTGTACAACTGAAATAATATTAAATGGCTCAGAAGAAGGAGAAAGACTTGCCAGCTCTTGTTCTTAATTAATATTGTTATATTTTGGTTTGCTATTTATGTTCTCCATCCCTTCCTTGATACTGTCTTTGGCTAATAGGCCAGCTGACTGAAGGTACGTAAAGGGACCAGTACAAAAGATATGCCAGAGAGGTCAGTAATGAATAAATGTTATTATACAAGAAGTTAGTTTGAGACTTATCTGATCCACACCAAGTTAACAGATAAAACAAAAGATTAAAACAACTTGCTGAAGACCTCTTGCTGCTACAGGGGCATGAGTGTGAACATAAATTCAGTCTAGGTTTGGATCTTAGGTAATTTCTTAAAAATCTTCAGATTCCTTATTAAAGGACTCCCCAGGAACACTTAATAAACAAATGAACGTTTACTGATTAGAATGTGTCTAAATATTAAGGATACAGAAAAGTAAGACATAGTCTCTGTCCCCAAAAGGTCCATATTTCTGCTACATAAGCAATTGTGGAAAGATACATAGTGATCAACATAACACACACACACACACATATGACAAGAAGGTAAGCAGGGTTTTGTGTAGAAAAGAACCATAAACACGTACTGAGAGTTGCAACCAGGCTTCCTGTTATAGGTAGTGCATGTGTAAAATTTTATAATGTAAGAAGGTAATTGATGGCTTGGGACTGGGGAAGGAGTGGGTAGACAGAGCAGGAGGACAAATGATGGAGAGAGTAAGAAGTTACAAACAGGCCAGGGTGCCGAGTCATGAAGTTACTAAAGGGACAGATAAGAAAACACTATGAAGAACAGTGATGACTCCTAATGGTATGACAGCTGGGATAATGAAATTCTAACTTACCTATGAACACCATGGATAGATACAACTTACAAGATCAGAGATTCCTGTCTGAAACACCATTCTGGAGTCAGAGAGGTTGGATATAAAGAACAGAAATCTGGGGACCAAAAAAGGTATGACCAGGTTAGTGACCTGTAGGCCTGAACTGAACAGAAAGGAATGAGAGGACCTGAAATATCTCTAAGAGGGAGTGATTCATGGTGCCAAAGAAAGAAAGGATGGTTCGGAGACTGAGGTAGAAAGTGGGAGAAAAGATATATCCACATTTTTGCAGTGTTGATGGGTCGGAGTAGGGAATTCATCGGAGTGATTATACTGTGCTCTCTATTCAGGTGAATGGAAAACTTCTTAGAAGGGTTCCTTTTGCTAAGAAAGCTCAGGATCCTGACTTGTATGTATCTGTCAATATTATAGGTTGCAACTATACATGAACATTATCCAAATCCCTGATAAGCAGTCAGAGAAGAGTCAGGGATTGGCTAGAACTGCAGACTCAATTCTAGATGTGACCTTAAGTATGTCTAGGTAATAAGCATGACTATCCAAAGGAAGGCAGAAAGGTCCATGAAAAAGCAGAAGCATAGAGAAAAGATAAATGATATATCTCCATTTTCCAGAGGAAGAGAACTAACCTTCTGACTGGTCTCATGGAGAGCCACAGGGTCTATCAATAATTGCTATGTAAGTTCAGTTTAGCCTAACATAAAGAAGGATTTCTGATAGTCAGAAAGACCCAGAAATGGGACAAGTCAAGCTGGGTATTATTTTATGTTTTCATTGGTGCCATACCACACTAACACAGACTAGGGACAGGTGGAACCAGAAATTCATTCTGCCACAGTTATACAAGATGGAAGTCTGAGGCATCTGAGGTCAAGTTCCTTGGCTAAGTATCTTCACGGATTTCTTTCTGAATGTATCTGTCCTAATCTTCATTTTTAACACTAGTTACATTGGATTAGGGTCCATCAAAGTGTGCCTACTTTAACTTAATCTTCTCTTTTTAAAACTATACCAATAAACCGATTTCAAAGAAACAAATACAAAATAATCTGTCAACAAAAATGTAAAAAAAAAAAAAAATTCTGGAGAATATGGGGTAGTAGAAACAGAAGTGTGTAACTTGGGATGTCCTTGAAGGCTCTTGTAGTTTTGAAAGCTGGCAATGCAGAATCCCTGCTATTAAGTATTGTTAATCCAATATTGTTTCTTATATTTTAGACAAAGATTACATTTTCATGACATTCTGAATAATGAGTAAAAAAGTACACTCTTATATAACCTTCCCAAGGTAACATGCAGGTGATCAGGGACACAATTGCTAACAGAGTACAAGCAAAGATTCATCTTACCTATGAAAGAGGACGGACTTCACCAGGGTGACAACGTCCCTGCTGGCGTTATATCCGGCACAGACGATGGCCACATGGATGGTCTAAGAGGAAAGGAACAGAGAATGAACAGTCATATAGACAGAAGCAGGCCATTCTGTATTTGTAGGCCCGCAGGAAAGAAATATTCACCTGATTTCCTGCTGGGATCATAGAAAACAAGGACTCTGCCTGCAGCCATTGAAAATAACATGAGACAGTTTTACTAAAGTCTTTTTAATTGCTTTATGGAGGTAGCATCATTTGGAGGCCATTAATACTCTTTTCAATTAGATTTTAGAGATAGGAGCAACAGTGATTGGTTCAAATAGGTAAACAGTGAGTGCCCTGCCCCTAAGCCAGGAGACAACGGCAACTGGCAAAAGAGAAGAAATGTGCCCCAATAGGCCAATCATCAGAGCTTTTTCTGAGAAGTTGTGGTTCAGAGTATGAACTTTTCTTCTGAAATGGCTTAGGATAAGGTCAATGTGAAACAACGCAAAAGGGCCAATGAGAAGTTCAAGGTCCAATCTGCAATACTATTCTAGGAAGTAAAGGACAGAATTGAGTGGGGCACTACAAGTCATCTCATACAAGCTGTTGGCAGTATTGACCACAAACATGAGCCATGATCCTGTACTTAAGCCCAGGTAGCTAAGGGAAAGCTTGAGGGTCAGCCAATAACTGCAACATAACATAAGGCATGAGTATCAGTTATGTTTGGTTGCTGTGCTAAAACACTTGGCTAAAGCAATGTCCATGAGGAAAGGTGTATTTTGGATTATGGTTTAAGATTCCTCATTAGTAGAGAAACCATGAAGCTCGTTGCTTATATCTTAGAGAATCAAAAAGCACTTGTCTGATATCCTCTTTCAACATTTATTCAGCTTGAGCCTGTAATTCATGGAATGATTCTATTCATATTTAAGGTAAGTCTTCTCTTCTCAGTTATTTCTTTCTAAAATTGACCTCAGGGACACACCTAGAGGTGTATTGTCCAGTGACTCTAAACCCAGTAAAGTAGATGATAGACATTTACCACCATAATAAATTCAAGTGCCAACCAGACACCTGAACTTACTTCATTTTTAAATAAACAAATTCCACCTCTGGTCCTCCAAGCATCATGGCCGTGTCAGAATGTAAAATACATTTGTTTCCTGTTTACAATTGATGTAAGTCATAACATTTTTATTTCTGTTCAAAACTTCAGAGTAAAGTCTTTTCTGAGACTCAAGTCAATTTCTTAACTGTAGAGACCTATAAAATCAGAAAATGACCCAGACATCTCATATAAAAAGGCACAGTAAACATTCTCATTTGAAAAAGGAAGAATGAAAGAAAACCAAGGACAAAGTAGACTACAGCAAGAATAAAACCAAGCAGGGCAAACAACGAAGCCTGAAGTTCTCTGTAAAGGAACCAAGTGGGAGTCGTGACAACATTACTGAGGTCCCACCACCTTTCTAGTACTATTCCCTGTGGCAAACTATCTCTATATCATACCAGCTTTTCTTGTGGGTAGATATCTGGTTAGTGGAATTGCTCAATACCCTAGGGTCACTACCAAAAGATAGGATTCAGCTTCACACATTTATATTCAGCCCTATAGGATATTCCCTACAAGAATATACCCAGCAACACATTACCTCAAATGTGGCTTTCTACAGCATTTATGCAAGTTCTTACATCCATTCTTGAAATTTGCAGGTATATAAGTGTTCTGTCATTGAATTACAAAGGACAAAAAATCTCACTATATTTTTAAAGCTATCAGTCAGGCTTGTACATATAGGTTGGTTAAAGTTGACACGTTTTTTAAAATTAATTTTAAATGGGGTGGGGTTGAGGAGAGAGAAATGGAGGAGAGAGAAAGAAATAAGAGGAAGAAAGGAAAGAACGGAGAATATTTCTCAGTCTCTGTCTCTGTCTGTCTGTCTCTCTCCCTCCCTTCCTGCTCTTGCTCCCAGCCCCCGAACCATATCAGGGACTGATTTGAATACTTGAGTATTCCTTGTTGGCTAGCTCCCTGCTTTCAGCTGAGCATCATGTCCTAACCTCATCATCAACTCTCTCTTGATTTACTGCAGTGTACAGACATTGTTTTCTATCTGGGGCACATGTTGAACAAGACTGGGAATGAATGTTCTAATAGAGCATAACTTTAATAAAAAATCATGATATGGTAAAGAATGCAGAGTCCCTACCTGTACATCCTGTCCCTCCTCCTGAAGCAAGACTGCTCTGAATAAAAACACATTTCCACCAATCTGTCCTATAAACATTGCAGAAGGATGGTCCCTCTTCCACGTAACACTTAATTGAAGAGTTGCTGTTTGACAGATTAGGTATGTCTTTGT